ACAGTCTAAAATTATACATAACACTGAAACTTTGCAATGCCAAAAAAAAATTTTTTTTATCATTATTGCTATAAATAATAATAATATTTTTTGTATGAAATTATCTTCGGATAAAGAAACATACTAGTTGTACACTAAATTTTTAAGATTTGCTTAGGCATTTTTAGAAACAAAATATAAAATTAATAAGATTCTTGTATTTTCATTTTGAGTTAAGGATTGAGACAATATTTTTTAAATTATAGCTAATTCTCATATTATGAGGGTTAAAATTTTTAAAAATGGAAGTCAGTGGAAGAATAATGCGTAAAATTATATAGATATTTTTTCTGATTTTATAATTTAAAATACACTAATTTATTATCACATTTAAGATATAGTTCAAGAAAAATCAAAACTTCATCTTATAACAAGAAAATCTTCCATTTGATTAAAAGTTATTTTAGTTGTTACTGTTTTTCTTAGCACTGTACAAAATCTAGGTTTTAGTATTTTCTGTACAAATATTTCATTTACACAACAAATAATAAAGGCGACATACAACACAATTAAGATCGAAATCTTTCAAGGTTATACACGATAAATATTCCTTCTAAATTTCTCAGTTTATGAGACAGACATATACGACTCAACACTAATACTTTTTTTTTATATTAAAATCTTTTCAAGTTTTTTTTTCTTTTTACACAAACACTTGTAATGTATTACTTTGGTTATAAAGTAGAGAAACAAACAAAAATGGTAATTCTGTCAATAAAACTTAAAAAATACAATTATAAATATACATAACTACATAACATTATAATACAAGATCTGTGAATAAAAATAAGATTATTTATACATACTATATAACATATAATACACTATTTTTTACAATTTTTTTTCTTTTCTCTTTTTGCATGGATTAGTTAACATAAGCCACAACCGTTTAAAAGATAACTTGATAAAATATATTAAACTAAGGTATTTTCATAAAATCGCACTTTCTTGTACACGATGCAGCTATATTAATTCTTTTCGTTCGTAATCTGAACCTATATTTGAATCTTTAAAGACCACCATGCAAAAAAGTGAGATCAAATGATTTTTCCTTTTAAAGAACAGAGAGAGAGACCACCACCATAAATCCAAAAATAAAGCTTCTAAACATATGGGCAGTTGACCAAAATAAATAAAGTGATAATCAATTGTTTTTATGTATATTAATATTTAACATTTGTATTTTTTATGTATATTAATAACTAACATACATCAGTAAGAAAAATTAAAAATTATGAGCACTGTCAAATTCTTAACTAAACTTGAAATAAAAAATCAACTTTATACAATTAATGGTTTTAATAATATTTAACACTGCATACCTACCTGATTATAAAAGTTTCAGAGACATGAGATGTTACTCCATTCATAGGAAGTACAACATTTTTATTTCTAAAGCTATTGGTTGGATTTATTTATAATTTTTTTTTTTTTTTTTTTTGTAATTAATTGAGTGAAAATGCATTTTTAACAATCAATTTTGAAATAATGCAGTCAATTTAAGCATTAATTTAAATTGACTGCAATGAGCTAAGAATAATAATTTAAAGAATGTAATGGTATAATTTTCTAATAAAAACTATTATTTAAGATGGTTGAATGATTGACTTTGTATTTATATTACTTGTGTTAAAAAATTGAATGATAGTTTTTAAATGATTTTGCTATATAATAGATTGTAATGCTTAATTTTAAAGTAGAACAAGCGACATTTTGAAATTACTTATTTATTCATGGTTAGATAGGTAGTAGGTATTTTATTTATGTTGCACTACAGCTGCACAATAGGCTATTGGCGGCGGTCTGGGAAACATCACCGAGGATGATCCGAAAACATACAAAAATCACAATTTTGATCCTCTACAGTTTTTTAATGTTCACAATTCCTCTAACAATTTTTTAATGTTTCTAAACACTTTTAAGCTGTCTCCCTATATAGATCTTCATTTGATAACTATTTAAATACTATTTTTAAATACTCATTTAATTTTTAAGATTTTCTTAGAATGTTGACAAGTCTTCACAAAATACAATTTCTGCAATTTTCTTCAGCCAATATTTTATTGAATCAATTTAATTTTGCACATTAAGAAAATGGATATATTTTTATTATAAATGACAAAAACATTTTACTATTGCTATTAGCACATGAAGCAATCGAGTACACATCTTCAGAGGCGATATTTTAAAAATTTTATTACTATTGCAACCAGAAAACTCAATTTGTTGAGCTTAACTTGAGGACAAATAACCCCAAAGAAAACCATTTTTTAATAACGGATCAGTGTTATTAGGGTTACCAGTTTATTTCAGAAATAAAATTCTCTAACTTATTTAAGAAAATTTCAAATCCCAAATAACGTTTTTGCAATGCATGGCAAATATGATTTCTTTAAAGCAACAAGCAATTAAGTTTAGTTTGTCAATACAAATATTACAAGATATAGATACGACAAATATTAAATTTTGTAAAAACAAAAATTAAGTAAGCTATTTAATATTTAGAGTTATTATACACGAGCATACTGATCAATGTGGAAAGTGACATTTCGCACAAATACAAGAATAGCTAAAAAAAAAACAATGTAAAATAATTTAATAATAGAGTCCTATCAGTAAAGTAGTCAGTTATCATATTTGTGATTAAAAACCAAAATTAATTTTTACAGAATAGTAAAAAACATAGTATTATTAAATTGCAAATATATTTAAAAAGAAATTTTTATCATTTTATAAGAAATAATACAAATAGATGCTAAACTTTTTAACTTTGATTATCATTGGCTATTTATTGTTTCAAAAATTTTATAAATGAGTTATTTTTCAGGTTTGTCACAAAATTTTCTTGTCTTGGGCCGAAAATTACAGTGTTCTCCGACTACCCCCCCCCCTCGAAATCAAATTCCTTGACAATCACAGTGTTCCCTGACCCAGTAGAAACCGTAAGTAAAACTGGAATGAATAAAATAATTAAGATTTTTCAGCATAATTCATTGTTGAAGGGATTTTCATAAATGTAAGATAATTTTTTTGAAAAATTTTAATTATTATTATCTAGGCGCAAGTCTAAAGATATTTAAAACATAGTTGTTTGTACAAATGTCACTATACTAAAATATTTACATACATAAAAACAGTTGAAAAAAAAAGGAGTAAAATATATAATACAGTGAATAATAAAAAGTTTTGATTTAAATGGCTTAAAAATATTATGCCATAAAAATAATTTAAGTAGCAATGAAAATATGTTAAATCAAAGATCTTTAAAATTGAAGTTTGTTTATATGTATATATTAACAAAGTTTTAATATTTAAATTAATGAATGATGATAATATTTAGATATAACACATGATTAAAATGAAAAAAAAATGCAATCACATAATTATATTCAATGAAATAAAGATAATTAGGATGAAATATATATATGACAACTAAAAACAAAAATTTTTACATATCTTAATGCAAATCAGGCAGACTATTAATTAATGCACAATGAATTCAATTTTAAAGTAGATATAATTTCTGAAATTTTTCTAATAATGAATTACTCAAGTTTTTTTTAATTAACTTAGCAATGGAAATAAAAAATAAAATGTTTTTTATTTATTTTACTTACTTTAAAAATTTTGTTTCTAAATTTTGAAAAAATACATTTAATAAGATTTACGAGATACATAAAAACATTCTTTTTATCTTATTTAAGTAATTAAATAGCTGGTATGATAAGCTTAGAGATTTCATTATTTAATCTTTATTATTGTACTGTGTATGAAACTAAAATGTATAAAAATTCTGAAAAGCAGTAACAGTAGATAAAATATATATCAAATAAATAATTTTTGAAATTTTAAACTAATCACAATTCAAAGAAAGAATTAAAAGTTATCAGTAAAATATATTAATACCTTTGACTAAATGGCCCATAATTTATTTTTGAAGAGTTAGAGAGTTAACAAATTTTCAAGTTCATTATTTTTGCATTAATTCAAAATACTAATTAGGAATTCAGAAGGTATAAAAATACAAAAGTTACTAAATGTCAATTTTGATTTCCAATATAAAACTTTTTTCCTTATTTTTATAACTTTTACATTCTAATTTAAGCAGTTTTGTGTAAACTTTTCCTTGTTTTTAAAACTTTTTTCTTTAAATATAAGCTATTTTTATTAACCTTTTTTTTGTTTTATAACTTTTATATTCTAATATTAGATATTATGATTAAATTTCCTTTGTTTTGATATCTCTTACATTTTAATTTAAGAATCTTTTGTTAACTTTCTCTTAGTTTAATAATTTTAAAATTCTAAATTCAAGCATTAAATAAAATCTGTCAGTCCTGTAAGCAAAAATTAACATTTTAAGCCTTTCTCACAAAAAGAACAGGAATTTCTTATGTTAAAGAACAGGTAAAAAACAATCTCTCAATATTTAAAATGTTTTTCATCCCAAATCCTTAAATTTATTATAAGTGCAGAAGAGTATTGTTATCGGCATAGTATTGAGGGGGAACATGACCTTCCCCCATTAATTTTACAAAATATCAGTTTAAGGTTATTTCTATTTTCAGACTCGAAAAAACTTTTTTTTTTTATTAAAAATTTATAATTTTGGAAAGTTTATATATAATTCTACAAAATAATTATAAAATTATTTAAGTTGCTTCTAAAAAAACCTTCAATGATTTTTTTTTAAAGTAACATGGTAGTTATTTAGTTTAATTTAAGCACCATGTAAATTTTTTAATTACGATAATGTTTTTATCAACATAGTGAAATATATTTTTTTACACAAATCCTTTTCTGACTGCTAAACTGTTATAGATATATATATTTGTGACTTAAACGGATTATAAAAGAAATACCGTTGTTCCCCTCTATGCCTATGTTTATTACACCAAATTGGGAATAAAAGTTCTTGTGAATGAAAAAGACTACAAATAAGGAAAGAAATCAAAAACACATCACAGATGCTGAATTTTCTTTCATAGTTCAATTTGCTTAAGGTTTGTGTAATAAATATTACTTTACATACATTTTGACACAAATTGTGATTGCTTGAGACACAATAAAGTATATTAAATCAGTTTGCCAGAAAGTCCACAGTCAGCAGCAGCAGGTGATATGTGTGTGGTTGTGCAGAGATTAAAAAAAGGTTTACATCTCATTTTTATGATTCATGGGTGGAAATTCGTTTTCGTAGAGGTCTTTAGCACAATGAGCATAGTGGGCATCCTTGTGGCTTTCTTGATCAGTTTCTGTGATGATACAAAATAAAGATAAATACTAGAAATTATACAATGAGAGATACAGCAAATAAAAATACAGAGCAACCAATGTATCATGACTAATAAAATAAGTATCATTACTAACATACTTCATTGACATATCATGATTAATAAAACATGAAAAATCTTTTTTTGTTAAAAAATACATAGAATTATATGATATAATTATAAAGCAACTTATGTGGTGGTTTGAGTCAAATTGTATCTGGTCATCACGAACTTTGAAGGCCTCTATTGATGAATCATTACAAACATACATGATTATTATGCATTATTTTGTCTTTGATGCATCATTAAAAATAATTTTTTTATTTACAAAAAAACAGTCAGTTTAAAATTGAATAAACTTTTTTTCAGTTCATAGCTTACATTAACTGCTTACATTAACCTTTACATTAACTGCTTGCCAGGGGACCACTGATAATTATTTTACGGTGATTCGAGTCAAATTTCAGTGGTAACAAAGCCTATATTAATTTTGAGCCGTGATTGATATTTCATAATAAATATATAAGATTATTACGCATTATTTAGTCATTGATGCATCATTACTAATACATTTTGTTTTTGATAGAAAAAAAAACATTCAGTTTAAACTTAACTAAACCCTTTGAACAATACTTTTTAATTCATAGCTGTCAACATTACTGTAAAACTTAGTAGAAAAGATGCCAACTTCTACTGGTTTCTTGATTCAGGTTTATGTATAATATAGAAACTTATATAGAAATTTTGCCAGGTTTACATATAATATAGAAACTCCTTTAGCTTTTAAACAAATAATATCACTATAAAACGGGAACTCAAATTTGAAACGTTCAGGACTGCTTATATTTTAAATTCCGTACTTTGAATATGACTTAACATTAATGCAATGTAAGAGATTAATTCAACAATAAATAATAAACTTGAATAAAGATGCGAATTGTGACTAAATCACTTTTTTTCATTAACGTAACTTTTTTTAAATATATCAATCAGCTATCAGCTATAACTGTTTTTCTTAAGTTATCAGTTTATCTTATTTCAGTTGCTCGAGATTCCGGAATTCGGGTCTGTCAATGAAAGAAGCTTTAAACAGAATGTAAATAAATAAAAGATTCCATTTCATTTAAAGAAATGAGATTTAATTTTTTTTATAACGAACTCTATATTATGAAATTAATATAAAAATATTTAATATAATTATGAATTTTTTTTAAAATTTGGATTAAAATGCATTTAGTATCTTTAGTTATTAAAAATAATGAATATAAGAGTATAAGAAAATTAACTTTTTATATTCAAAGCTAATTTCTAATATTTAATTTTATTACCATGATTTTTTTTTTTAAAATTTAGATTNAAATGCATTTAGTATTAAAAATAATGAATATAAGAGTATAAGAAAATTAACTTTTTATATTCAAAGCTAATTTCTAATATTTAATTTTATTACCATGATTTTTTTTTTAAAACTTAGATTAAAGCTATCTAAATTGACTGTAATATCTATAGCTATTTAAAATTGTGAATGTAAAAGTATAATAAAATTAATAAGTTTCAATGAGGAAGTTAAAATTAATAATTCAAAGTCTATTGCTAAAAGAAAATAGTTACAGTTAATTTTAAAATTGTAGTCATTAGTGTAATATATTCAATGCATTTTATTTTTCCTATTACCCATAAAGAAAAATCTTTAAAAAATTATTTATGAATCCTTCAAATGTCACAAATTTAAGACATTCCTGATCAGGATCTTAAAGAATTAAAACAGATTTTTTTTAAATTAAACTGCAAATATAAAAATTAAGATTCAATAATAAAATATAGTTTACTTTTGATAAGATCAAGAGGATATTTCCTCATGATTAGATCAAGAGGATAGGGTATATTAGTAAATAATATTTCATAGTTAATGTTAGAGGGGGGGGGGAAACCAGACTTTTCCTAGGTGTATAAGTATTTATATTTATGTTTTAAAAGAAGAGAAAATGTACTCTTAACAAATAAATAAATAAATCTACTTTTATAACAGCCTATTAATAAGTTACATAGTATTAAATAACAGTAAAAAAAAATTTCAAAAAACTAAATTTAAATTTGAACTTAAAATTTATTTATTTAGAAGACATTTTTTTACTAATTACTAAAAATTTTAGACTGTACACAACAATGGTAAAGTTACTCTTCTATAAACAATAAAGTTATTATTCTCTTCTAAAAAAAATAAAAAGTGGGGCATTATCTTATATATTATATTAAAAGTGGGACTAATTCTTATATATTTGTACAATTAAAAAATTTATCATACATTTATACAATTAAAGCTTTTCACAGTATTAAACAAACAAAAAAATTAAATATTCAATCATAGCTTTTATAATTTATTTTATTAACAACTAAGATATTTTTGTTTTATTTTAGATCAAGGCAACTTAATTAATATTCAAAGTTGTTCATGCAAGAGTGATTTAAAAGATTAAACATTTCCTCATTTGAAGAAAAGGTTTTTAAGCTGTCTGGAAAATGTTGGTCAAGGTCATTAATTTCAACAGATAAAGCAGAAACTATTCTCAGACATTTAGGTTTCATTATTATTATTTTTAAAAAAGAATTTAGTTCATTTTAAATCTGATAAAAAAAATTCAACACCACTGATATGTAGAAAAGTTCATACTGAATAAAGATAATAAAATTACTATTGTCATGACATTATTGACAGTGAAACTAACAGTTATGTTATATAAGACTAATAGCAGCAGTCGAATATTTAGGAATTATTTGAAGACAGAAAATATTATTAATTTTCTAAAATCAAATGTTTTTCACAAAAAAAAATATCATTAATTTATAGAACGATTTCATTATTTATTACCAGTTTGTAAAACATAAATTTTTACATTAAATTTGAGGAGGAAAAAAGATATAGTTATTGCATAGAAACAATCTAAACTTTTCACAGAACTTAGTTCAAGAAATAACAAAATTATGTGATGTAAATAGATTTTGTTTTAACATTGCATTAAAATTAATTATTAGCTTGTTAGATGTTACAACAAATAGTTTTAATAGTTTTATGAGTTCAATATAATTATTAAAACAACTTTTGTATCATCTTAGTCTAGTAGATGATTATTTTTATTTTATTTTAAAAAAATGTTCATTTAAACACTTTATGATTTAAAAAGTTTGTTGTAAAATTATTTTTTAAATTTATAAGATTAGGAAATTTCTAAATTTGAAAAGTTTTAATGGTCAACAGAATTAATTAAAATAACTTGGCACATAATTTACAGTATTATTAATTTGCTCAGTTACAAAAAATATTTAAAAATTTTATTTAAAAGGTTTTTATTTAAAGGCTAAATAAATATTTAAATTAAATATGATATCTATAATTAACAAGATCATTCTACACCTCTTTAGCGAAACATAAATTTTAAGTTATAGAATAATTATCTATACGTACTTATATAATAAGAACTGTTTTTCAGAAGTGAGGAAAAAAGAACACTGCTTTGATAAATAAACATTTTTAGTTCAGATACTAAGTTTAAGATAATTTTTTTCCCTTTAAAAAAATTATTACATCCTTTCAAAACACTAAAATCACTTTTAAGAATTATTTATACAATCTGTAGTTTGGGGGATATAATCAGTCCCTGAATATTTAATGCATGACCTCTTACCTTCTGGACAAAAATTCAATATAAAATGAAATTAAAACATTAAAATTCCAAAATTGAACTGTAAAATTCAATACAGTGAAACCTCGATTTTACGTCCCCCGAATTTACGTTTTTCCCGCATTTTACGGTTTTTTCATCAGGACCCAGTTTTTCCGTATACCTCCAATGTTAATTTTTCCCGGATTGTAAGTTTTTAATTTACGGAATTTCCCGCATTTTACGTTTTTTGTAGAAAGAAAAAAAATAAAAAAATGTTTTAATAAGCAATATTTTTTCTATGTTTGCTTTTTTAAAGCTCATCCACGTTGTTGAAAGTAAATCTATGAAAGCAGAAACGCATTCCACAGACTACTGTTTTCTAGAACTTTAGTCCTCTCTCCCCCTTCCTTTGTTGAACACCTGCTGCCTGTCTCGGACAAGGCAGCGGGCGAAGAAACAAAGTACAGAAACAACACATTTCATTGGTGCAGGAATGAGACAGATAGGAGAAGAGACACTCCAGTTACCAATCAGATGTAGTGACTTATTTTCTTCCTTGGAAAGCAAAGGGGATCTTTACGTTTCTACAGCTTTTCAGACTCTGTTGTTGTTTAGCACAAGGTGGTCGCATTTCAAACCCTTTCGTACGAAAATGGTGAGCAAAAAACGCAAAAACTTTTCTGTTGCTGAGAAAGCCGAAATTGTTAAGCAGTTTAATGAATTTCATGGAACAAAAGTAGCATTCGCTCAATTGCAAGGAATTCCCGTAACAACCCTGCAA